AACCGAATTTTAGTAGCTGCTGAAAATCGCCCATTTTCCTCCTTTGTGCGCTTTTGCGGTGCAGCGTTTCAGCGCAGCAACAGGCAGCAAAAACGCATGTTGCGACCACCCTGTCTGTGTATACATGTGTGTGTATGTGTGTTTGTGTATGTGGGTGTGCGTATATGTATGTGTGTATGTATGTTCGTCTGTCCAGTATCTTTGCTCACCAACTACGCAAGCTTTGATGCTGAAATTTTGCCAGTGTGTTCTCTGCGGAGTGTGACCCCAGGAATGCGATGCCAGTTGTCGCGCACGTCTGGGTATCACGACGGGCACGTGAAAATTTTGGCGGGAAAACTGCTAACTCGAAGACGGAAAAAGCTAGAAAGCTGAAGCTTTGTGGTAATGTTTCCTGTTGATGTACGACCAAAAAATTTCAAATTCATCTCCTCAAGACCGCCCGAGACTCACGCGCAGGCAAGTGAAAGTTTTAACAGGAAAGTTGCTAACTCACGAACGAGAAAAGCTAAGGAAATGTTTCCCACTCATGTACGACTTAAAGGTTTCAAATTCAGTTCTTCTAGTGAGGTTTTTTTATGTACCAGCAATTTTTCATTGTCGGGTCATTGATACCGACATCTACAATTGACATGCTTTATAGCTGCACAATTAAATTCCTGAACTTGGAAATCCAGTATGTCACAAATTCTAGCTATTGTGATTCCTTGCAATCTTGGTACAGAACGAAACAGTGCAAGAACATGTGTTCGCACTGGCCCCCTTGTGCCTTCCAGCATGGGTTTTGTTTTGTGGTTGCCTTGACCGGTGCTGCATCGCTTTGTGATCGGTCTTCTGGCGTTGCTAACGTTCGTTCCAGTTTCTCAAAGGATTATCGGCTCAGTGGTTTTTCCAGCAGAAACAGTTGGGCAAGGCTAATGTCTCTTGGAAACTCCACTGTTTATGTTGAGCGTTACCATCTTGTCTCCGAACGATGCCATTCCTGTGATGCCTTGTTGTCTGGGAGAAAAACTGTGTAGTAGAAAGTTAATTGTATCGTGAGCTGTTCTTGTGGGATTTGAG